TGGTTAATTTTTTCAATGGACACACCTCCATGTTTTAGTATGAAGAATGTATAATTCTGAGTCGTTTTAACAATTAAACTGTAAACCAAATATATTTTTTCCGCTAACAAAATTTTGATAAATTCACTGTGATTCATTTTAAGACCCTCAGTGAAATTGTTCACTGCTGCAATAGTTCAGAATTCCCTGTTTATTTCTAATGAAATAAAAACGGTTTACACTACATACCTTATCCTGTACACCATTCCCTTCTTTTCCTGAGGCCATAGAATACAATGATTTGCAACTTTGTCTCAAAACATCAAACTTTGTGTCATACAGAGTCTCTGCATCTCGTAGTGAAGCAAGGCTTACCTTGAATATAAACACACAACTCCAATGTTACAATTTATGTACATAATACTATGACAGGGATATTAAACAAGCAGCCATGCACATTTCAATTAAGAACTGAAGATATCATTAGAAAATGAACAATATGTATAGTATCAAAGCAACAGGACTTGCTGTTTTCAACAAGAATTCAAAAATATCACTTTTCACCAAAAATGACAAAAATATTCACCAAACTTAGAGAATTGAAGATATCACCATGAAATAAACAAATCTAAGAGAGGTCTACATATACATCAAAGCACTCAGGCTTGTAGTTTTCAAAAAGAAATGTCGAAAAAGTAAAACATTGACACGGACGACGACAGACAATCACTCATATGATAAGCTCCATTGTCAGCGGAGCTAAGAACTTGATATGTTGTATAACGCTAGTATACGCTAGTATAGTGTGACAATGTACACTGTGACAAATTTCATGCATATTTAATAAATATGGAATAATGGAATAATGATTATGTCAACAATCATTATCATTAGTTAAAAATGGTATATACCTGCAACCTTGATTCTAGAGCTATGACTGCCTTAGACAGACTTGAAGAATCACCTTCATTGCATGTAGCGTAATCACCAAGATTTGCCTGAGATAAGATATCGAGTGAAAACAATTGTGAGATTTATAAAATTAAACTTCTGTTTTTTTTCTTTTAAATTTGATAACTCATGTTGACTAAATTGCTAATAAATCGATATCAAAGAGCACACGTTTTCATAGATGTATCATATATGAAATCACAAAAATATATTTACAATGATGTACTAAAAAATGCTTTACAGAAGTCACAGACAGTAGTAAACAGCCATTAGAGTTTATGGCATTGCTGTAATCTCAGGACGCATAAATTTGAATTATGTTGGACACAATTACAAACTATATGCCAGGTTTATAAAGCTCTGTAAGAGAAATTAGAGTTAGTGTTGTGAGATGGTAAGGCATATGAAGGTAAAGGTCTTGGTTACGTTTCATCAAAAATCAATTTTCGTGGTCATATTTAAATTGGTGATATATATAAACTCTGCACCGCTGTTCTGCACATAATGTTCAGTTTAATTTGGATTGAAGGAATTGGACCATATAGAAGTATATTATCTACTTCAAGAACTTACGTCATCAGAGATATCCGTCTGCAGATCAGTCAAGGTGTATCCTATCAGAGATTCTTCTCTATGCAATAGTAATATCTGATCACAGCCACACTGGAGGAAATCATCAACAAACACATCACACACTGTTTCCCATGATTTCATAATCTGTGGGAAAAATCTGAGGTCAGCCATGCTAGAGATGTCTGATTTCAACAACAGAATTTACAGTAAAAAACTGTATAAACTAAACAAGCCTTAGGTTCCAACTGGTCACAGCATGTGAAATTTAAGACTTTTTCATGAATTTTCAAACCATAATCCTTGAAATTCATGATCTATTCTTTAATTTTACACATTTGGATAAAGAAGTCCACACTCAAAAATATCAAGCTCTGTTCATAAGTTGGCATATTGCATGTCACGAACATAAAAATGAAACATTTTAAGAAACCCTGGAAAAACTGAGTTGAGTTCACAGGGATTTTAATACACACTGTGTACTAGTAGGCAATTCTTTAGGGACTTTTTAATTAGGTGGACATTTATTTCAACTACTGTACTTTGTTTAAAATTTAATTCAGAAATCTGAATCTAATCTCAATCAATATTTCAGATATAGCATACAACTAATTGAGATAGAAACCAGAATTTGTATACACATTGTAGTCTAACAAGATTAATAATTGTGTATTTTATTGAAATTTTTATGACAAACATGAAATAATTCATTTAGTTTATATTATTTTCACATAAATAAATAAATAATATCTTTAATTATTCACTAATATGACATACCAAGAAGTTTTCCATGAGTACTGCACATGCTTGACCTCTGTTGACAGACCTGACAATAATAACGTCATTTCCTCCTGTTACTGTGGCAACCGAAATGTTGCCGAGATCAGAAAATCCAAGACCACAACATTTAGTAATTTTTCCATCTCTAAACTCCAGTAACTGTCCTTGAGACGTTCCAACAAAAATCAGATTATTTCCTTTTTCATCCATTTTATGATTGCCACCAGATTTTGAAGAAACAGGCAAACGAATAGGGCCGCTGACGTAAACGCAAGTCACAATATTTGCATATGCATGAGGAATAAACAAGTCACTCTCAAGATGCATGTCTGAATCTCCTTGACCTCGCTGACCCTTTGGGTCAAAAGCCACCAGCACACATTCATTATCCCAAAACTTGCTGTTGGCGGCGTCATCCTGAATAGTCCGCCTTGTTCCCATGGCAACTACATAGTTCTCAACCATTTTCAAATGCAAGAGAGTATGGATACCAATCAATGATGGCGCTTTCTGCACATCCATCCATTCATCAATGCCATATAAGGACGTGTAATACCAATCATGTCCTTTTCTCCAACACGCAAGTGGCCCATCACAAAGACACACACAATCAACCATCTCAAGGTCATAGGAAGTCCTAAACTTGCCAACAGCTAAAAATTCCTTTTTTTCATGAGACAAAAACACAAAATAATTTACGAAGTTTTTATTTTTTTTGGCTCGGCTAACCAGTATACATGGTAAATGAAGTCCAGTTCGTCTTTCTGCAACACATTTTGCAGTTACCATGTGTAGTTTAAAATTCCTTGGTGCCCATACAATCCTGTTGTCACTGTTTTCAGTGAATGCTCTACTACCTTCATCTAAATGATAGAATTCGGCCTCTAATCCACCTTGCTTACGTGATGTAAGTTTAATCACGCTATTATCATGAGAAATAAATTGTGACTTTGGTCTTTCTGTTATTGCCGCACAAGCCATAACAAACTAAGAAGCATAACCTACTGAAAAAAAAAAATAAAAAAAAAGGATCAATAAAATTGTTATCAATTATATCTAATATTTTGTGGTCAAATTCACTAAATGTAATACATTTTCCGGTAATCCTACCTACTTGTATTTTGTGGAGATGCAACGTAGTGATAACCACCCTGGATAACTACTTCATATAGTATTAATTTCTGGGAGTAATATACTAGTAGTAATTTCTAATATGATACCTACAATGTTAGTAGTAAACATGTTTACGCCTGGATGATAATGGTTTGTATTGGGGGGGGGGGGGTAATTGCGAAAATAATGGTGATCATGAATTGAAATAAGTTGGAGCAGGAGATTATGTGAAGATTGTGTGGAGATTATGTGGCAGGCTTAGTGAATAGTGAATAAAATTAATACCGTCATGGGTTCGGGACCAAGTTAATTTTGCAAGTATGTCATCATGCATTTCATTTTTAGCAAGTTCAGTGTACATACTTTTAATTTGTCAGACACTGTGCTTATGATATTGTCATCATTGGCATCTACATCAAGTAGATTGAAAATGTTTTTAACGCCGGTGACCCAATTTTGGGTATTCTGACTATCTAAATGGTTTCCATGACTGAATGCTTCTGCCACCAGTGTGTTATGGGGCATTTTATTTATTTTAAGCCAATATTTTAGCATTTGCTTTATGCTAGAGAGAATCAGAGGGT